CAGGTCTTCAGATCTCTCTGGAAGGCCAGGAGTGAAGGGGCCAATCTCACCTCCGGGGGCAGGATATTCCAAAGGGCAGGGGTTACAGCAGAGAAGGCCCACCTTCTGGACCCCGCTAATTGGTCTTTTACCGAGGGGGTCCGAAGCATGCCCTCCCCGTGTGATCGGGTGGGACGGGATGAAGTCACAGGGAAGAGGCGGTCCCTTAGGTAACCTGGTCCCATGCCATGTAGGGCTTTAAAGGTGATAAGCAACACCTTGAATTGGACCTGGAAGCAAACTGGAGCCCAATGCACCTCACGGCGCAACGGTGTTACATGGGCCCTTCTTGGGGCTCCAAAAATAGCCCACGCGGCTGCATTCTGGACCAGCTGTAGCTTCCATCTCTTCAAGGATTTTTATTTTTATTTTTATTTTTTTATTTTTTTATTTTTATTTTTTTCTCTAGCACCCTTACCATCTTTATCTACTCTTAAGCCCAAGAAAATAAAGCCATCTATCATCCCTTCACCATCAACTGGAAGTTCACTAAACATGCTGGTTGACATTATATTTGGGCTCTTAATATTTAGCTTTAACCTGGCTTTTCATAATCAGTTTGTCTGAGTTTTCATCTAATGATGTTATCTTATTTGCATGTCTGACATTTAAAGTTTTTTTTACTTTGTGATAATTTCAGCTGTCATCTCTTTCAATCCTGCTATTCTTACAGTGCATTACCATTAAATAAAATGTATTTTATTTGTAATTTAGTAGAGATATGACAGAAAAAATAACAGTGACTTTACTTATTTTAGTGCATAATACTATAAACTACTATTGTGCTTATTCATGCTGCTAATGTAATCTGAGATGCTTCTTCCTCTTCCCCAATTCCCAACTTAACCTTACAAGGTTTAATTTGAATGATAATAGAAAATAGAGAACCTTAAAAATATAGCAGAGCTTTGCTTTGTATGGCAATGTGTTCCTGGTACTAAATGTTTTTGGTTAATGTGTAGAATTTACCTCATTTGACATTGGTAATAAGTAAAATAACATTAAATTTACATTCCATTGTTTTGTTTGTTAACCGTAAAGGATGAAGGGATTTAATTGCTAATTGATTTGAAGTAGGCAGATCAAAGTGACTTGATGTGCTTGTGCTGTCAAATTTAATTTTCCTCCTTTCTTGACAGGCTTTCAAAGAGATGCTGTATGCTGCTCAGGACCAGGCCCCTTCTATAGAAGGTAAGCAAGTTATAATTATTTTAGTAATTTTTAGCTCAGTAGTTCCCTGTGAGCATCCAGATATCACCTTCTGTATAGACAAAAATTATCTCAAACTGGCAAGGTAGTAGTGATGTGCAGAACTTTTCAAATTTGGACCTTTTTGATTTTGAAATGTTCTATTTCACATTCAAAATAGTTGTTTCAAGTTCATAACAGTGGTTTGGGGTTAAAATGGGCTCCTTTGACCATTTTGTTTTTGAGCTGAAAATACTTCAAAATGATCAAAACAATCCATTTCAAACACAAAACAACTGTTTTATATGTACAGTGGGGTGTTTTAAATTTGGAGTGGTTTGAGTTTGAAATGTTTTGTACACCATTGCAATGTTGTAAGCCAGAATCTGTATTGCATCATGTTCTTTCTTACCCTGAATTTTCATTACAGTGTTCTCAGAAGTCAAATTAAAACTTCTCTTTTGCACTATTTTCTGTGTCTTTCCAAAAGTAGGTGCTAAAAATTTTATTTTCTTTCTTGAATCACAGACATAAAACAGCACAGCATTTAAAGTATGTTTATCTGTAGAAATTAAATATAATTTATTTCAAATCACAGTTTGTGGTTCACACAGAGAACAAAAATCAAGTAATCTACTCAGGTGTAACTGCATTCTTGTTGCATGAGAGGAAGAGGAGAAAGTAATAAGGGGTATGCTGCTGTTTCACATGGGCATCTTGATGCTAAATTAAAAGCTACAAGTCCCTGGGTTATTTAAGTTCTAATTTATACAACTCCAGCTTTATGGAAAGGGGTACAAATACATGCACAAATGGAAGTTACCATGTTTGTGCATATATACAACAGAAGGCAACACATTTGTGTTTGAGCAAAATGGCACCAACCATATTTTTGCATGCCTGTGAAGTGCAGTCCAACATGTACAAAAATCATCTTAGAGAAGAATTCATAGAATGGAATGTTTGCCTAGCCCTGTATCTGGCTGTATTTGCATTATCGTAAAAATGGATTTCTCCAAAACAGCAATAAATTTATTTTTTTTTCTAGATACGAATATTGAGTAAAATAACATACATGCATGTGTGTGTCTGCGCTTTGTGAAATAATTAGGCAGAAATACAGCTTTTAATCTTAATTTTTTGACTCCACTGTTCCACAAATTGCATTGGCTACCAGTATGCTTCTGGGTGCAATTGGAAGTGCTGGTAGTCACCTTTAAAGCCCTTTATGGCTTGGGCCAGGTTACTTATGGGACTGTCTCTCCCTGGTTGTTTCTACCTGTCCTATCTGATCTGGCAGGAGGGTTGTGTTCTGGATCCCATCTGCTAAGGAGTGTTGGCTGGCATGGTGCAGAAGGAGAGCCTTTTTTGCTGTGGTGTCATCCTTCTGGAAATTAGATTCGGTCCATCCTCATTGGCCTTCTCTAAGGCCTTGAAGACTTGGCTCTTTCCTTGATGGGGCCCTGGATGCATGACAGAGCCTGTTTCTTGGTTGTGTTGAGTGAAGCAATGATACACTATATATGATTTCTTATAGTGCTTCCTATGGTTATTTCTTATAGTGCTTCTTTCTTATTTCTTATAGAGCTTCCTGTGGTGCTTCCTAATTTCTTATAGTGCTTCCTATGGTTCTTGGAATATTAACATTTATTTGTTTACTGCAGTTTTCAAATTAGATAATCTACAGAATTTTCAAGGAGTTATTTTTGAGTGAGCTGGATTAGGATTGTAATTAAAAACAACCATTTGATAAAGGAATGCAGTATATACTACAATAGCATTTGATAGCTTATGAAATATCCAGTTTGCCAAAAGTTTAACATCCCTAATTATATAGCTATAAGGTAGAGGTAGGTTTAGTAAAACCACTGTGTTTAGTTTGGCTAATGTTAGAAAGTCTGCTACTGTTTTTCCTATCAGTTTTAAATTTTAAAAAAATCATGAATTCTTTTTTCCCATGGTGAAATGCATTTATCTGGACACTAGTTTTCATCAAAAGTTGTATATAGTCATATACAGTAGTCACTCTTTTGTCAGATTTGTATTACACCTTTCCTTCAGATGCTCCAGAGAATATACACAGCATTCCCTCCTCCCACTTTTTCCTAAAACAGCCATATTTTGAGGTAGGTTTGGCTAAGAGAGAATGATTAGCCCAAAGTCACCCAGTAAAGTATTGTGGTCGAGGGTGGACTTGAACCTAGATTTCCCAGTGCAAGTCCAGTACTTTAATCATTACACTGTAGCCTTGATTTTGGTTGCAGTAGGTATATGGAATCTTTTTGTGGCTGGAGCTGCAATGTTTTTATTATTAATTTGTGGGCTGCAGGGGTATCATGGAAGTAGACTAACTTGATTTTTGCTTTTTGCTTTAGAAATGTTTAAGTTTTTGCTTATATAAGTATTAATATGTCATAAAATAAGGCCTCAAGAGTTGCATGTGTCAATCAGGTCATGAATTATTCACTTCAGTTATACTCCTCCTTAAACCTTGTGGCTTATTTATTTATTTTTCACATTTATATCCCAATGCAATCGAAAGCCTCTCAGCAGCTTACATAGAATATAATACTAATAAAATACCCACAGAAACATGCATGATTATTTAATTTACATTCTGTTGTAACTGGGAAATAATTAAAGAAAAAGGCCTTTATCTCTCCCCTCTTATTGTCTTAGTCTCAAAGCATTGTCTCCAAACTGCACAAGGATATCTTATTACTTGTTCAAATAGTGAAAACCTAGATGTTGCATTATATTAAGTTAGTACTAAACATGTTGCTGTGTTCTTATAATTTCTCTTTAAAATCAGCGTACAAAGAAATTGGTCAGACACTAGATGACATTAATTCTTGGGTTGTTTAGATATGAAAAACTCAGATACTGGAATTTTCTGGATTAGAAGGATTTTCTTCAGTACAGTACAGCGAAATTTGACAGAAACTAGTGAGTTGCAAAATTATTATTTCATTTTACTTCACATAACTGGATATGTATCATTGTTGCTTTGTGCAAAGCTGATTGAATTAATGGCAGTAATGGCAGTAATCTGCCCTATGGATTTGGCACAGATGGCATTATAATCTGAGGCATTTGTATATAGAACTAGAATTGGAACCAGCTGAATTTGGAATTTGGAGAACAGGGTCGGTATATATAAGGAAGGGCACTCCCAAGGGTGCATATTGGCCCCCTATCTGTTTAACCTGTACAATAAATACATCATAATAATGGCAGCATTGGGAGAGGTGACAGCTAGAATCATAACTGAAGGTCAAAACAATCTGAGACATGCAGATATGCAACTTTGTTAGACAAACATAAAGAAGTTTTAGAAGAGCTCATTGTGGAAACAGAAAATAGAAAGTGAAAAATCTGAACTAATATTAAATGTTAAGAGGAAAACGTGAACCAACGTGCTTAGTGAATTTGCACTTGACAGTGAAGTAAAAGTGATATGTAGTTTTGCTTTCTTTGGCTCAAGAATAAACAGTATTCTGCCTTGCTTTCTTGATTTAATGACAGACTTAGACAAGATCATGAAGGATAAGGTCATTTCAGTAACAGTGTAGATTGGAATTGTTAAAGCAATGTGTTTCCATTGGTAACACTATGCCGTGACAGCTGGATACTGAACATGCAAGAAAGAAATAGGTGTCTTTGAATTATGAATTTGGAGGCAATTACTAAGTATCATGGATTGTAAGAAGCAATCAATCAATCCTGGACTAAATAAAGACTGATTATTCACTTGAGGTAATGAAATTCACATAAGTTCAACAGGTGATGCAAGCAGAAGATGGACTAGCAAAATGATTATGTTTGGCAAGGTTATGGGAAGTAGAAAGAAGGGTAAAGCAACTGATAAAATGGATGAACAGAAACAAGGAAATTACTGGGGTGTCCTTGAAAGAGCTATGAGTTAATGTTAGAGACAAGTCAAGATGAAGAAAGTTTGTCCATACAATCATCAGGTATCAAGCCTGATGCAGTGGTACCTATCTAAAACAATTATATATAAGGTCAGCCTGCATCTTAACTGAATAGACTAGAAAAAGCATAAAGATCTATTTTGCAAATATTGTCTGACAAACCTATGTAAATGGCTCTTTTTTCTATAGTATATTAACATAAATTCAGAAATATTTGCCAGCATTTCTTCCTGACAGGCAGATTAAATGAATGTAATTCAATATGAACTGGATTTTGGAAGCTCAGAGATTTGATTCATTTTGTAGCTTTCTGTAACTTTGTGCATAATTTTTAAAGTCAAATGAGTGTTCTAACCTTGCTTTAAGAAAGTTATTAATATGCTTATGGCAGCTCTGATTTGCCTTAGATGGGAACATGTTACGAAGTGGTAGAGCAAGGGAACTAAATTCTGTCCTTGCAAATGCTTTTATGCTAGATGGCTTGCTGGACCCTGATTATCTTTATTTGGTTAGTAGAATACAGCTCTTCTCAGCACCAGTGCAGTTTATGGCACGCCTGTATATTATTTATTCTAATTATCCATACTTGAGAAATTTCTTAGAATCTTTGTTGCTCTAATGGGATAGTTGGATGGGTTAAAATGCAGAGATGGGCACTAAGGAATGTACTATCTTGGATGTGGTCCTAAATAACAGAGAGAAGTTGACTGACAATATTAAAGTGGTGGGAACTTTGACTACAAGTGGCCATGCATTGTTAGAGTTTTTGATTTAACAAAAAGCTTGATTAAAAAAATAGTAAAACATAAAATATTTTAAAAAGGCTGATTTTAATATACTAAGAGAAATAATGAAGATGTAATGGGAAAAAAGCCTTAAAGGCAAAGGCCAGCTGGAATGTCTTGAAAAAGAAATTAAAGCAGCACAGTTCCAAGCAACACCGGTGTGGAAGAAAACCAGAATGCATCTAATGGAGCTAGTGTGACTGAAGAGGCAGCTTGCCAACAAGCTGAGGCTAAAGGATGCTTCTTGGAAATGGAAGGAAGGTCTAACAACCAAGGAAGTTTACAA